TGTACGTGTGTGTGTGTGTGTATGTGGAGTACATTTACACATATATATTCACTCTTAAAAATAAAGGTGCTTCACGATGCCATAGAAGAGTCTTTTTGTCTAAATGGTACCATAAAGAACCTTTAACATCTGAAGAACCTTTCTGTTTCACAAAAGCTTCTTTGTGGCAAAAGAAGGTTCTTCAGATTACAAAAAGGTAAGAAAGAGATGGTTCTTTAAAGAACCTTTGGCTGAATGGTTCTTTGTGGAACCAAAAATGGTTCTTCTATGGCATCGCTGTGAAGAACCTTTTGAAGCACCTTTATTTTTAAGAGTGTATATGAAGTGCTACAAAAATAAAATATGCAAAGGTATAACAAATGCTAAACGGACACAAAGGTGCTTCGTGTGAAATGTGTAGACCAAGGCAATTCAAAATATGACCATTCTGTACTGAGGCAGTGCAAATATTATGTCTCTAGATATTGTGTGCTGGAGGCAGATGCTGCAGTTGTGCAAATATTATGAGGATGTGCAAAAGGTTAAGATTAAAGCAGGAGCCGGTATTGACAGCAGTGCAGTACAGTATGAGGAAGTGATATTGATTGTGGTCATAGTGCTGTATGTTTAATGGTAATTAATTATCCATCCACCTATTTCTTCTTTGGAGTCATAGTAAATTAATCTGTAGTAGTTTAGTGAATGCAGCGTAATTTTGGATGCTCAGCAGCTTTTGCTTTTCAGATTTATGAAGTCATCTCTACTTGAACTCATTATTAGGAGAGACGTCATTGGTGGTAATGAGAGGATATAGTGATGTGTGCCTTTTGTTGCAGTGCTTATTTCAGCTCAGGATGAGTAAAGAATTGGAGGAGCTTTCTCCCCTGGACGACTCGGGACATGGTGATGGGTCTGAGGAAGAAACAGAGGAGGATGATGAGCCCAAAATTTGTCAAGTATGCGGCGACAAATCCACAGGCTACCACTTTAACGCCATGACCTGTGAGGGCTGCAAGGGCTTCTTCAGGTGAGTGAGCAAACTGATTTTTCCCAGCTGCTCCTCCTTCAACAGATGTGTGGAGGAATTGTAATTGAGGATTATATACTCCCCCTCATGTCCTTCCAAACCTGTATGGCTTTCTTTCTACTGAGATGTTTTGCAGAAAGTCCAAGCTGAGAGGGGGAGTAAATGACTAAATGATTACCGAATTGTCATTTTTTGATGAACTGTACTTTTAATAATTGATCCAGTTGACCCAACCCTCCCAGTACACTCTTAAAAATGAAGGTTCCATATAATTGGCATTGATGGTTCCATGACAAATGCAGAAACTGTTGACTGAAAGGTCCTTTGAGGAACCTTTTTGTGTAGGAACAAAACTTGACAAAAGGACATCAAGGATATGTATGTTAAAATATATTTGCGGAGTGTGTCCAATAGTTTTTATAACAAACCTTGGAGAAATGGTTTGCTTACTGAGCTGAAAATGTGAAATATGACCTTTAGGATGTACACAGAGCTTTAAAAATCATCATTCAATTTTTGACTGTTGTGATTTGCATAATTTTTTTGTAAGCAGCCTTTGAAAAATAAAGTAATTATAGGGTACAGTAGCACATTTGAATTTGTGGCCAGCCCACACGCTTCACAACACATCGTATGTGTCCAACTGCAGTCACATGGTAATTGTTTGTTTCCCAGGGTGCTTTCAGCATTTTTAAAAACATGAGAATTATACTGGTTAATGTACAAAAGATGTGAATATCCAAATGCTTTTTTAAGAAAGCAATATTAGCCACTATTGACATTGCTGCTCTTTTGGATCATTGTTGTCATATACAGACAAATATTATAATTAATAGACAGCAGGGTCTGGTTTTAAATCGATAGCCCACACAAAAATAATAAAACATTTTTTTTATTATTTATTCCCCCTCATGTCTTTGCAAACCGGTATGATGTTTTTTTTCTCCTGTGGAACACAAAGGATATTTTTGAAGTGTTGTCTTGGACCCCATCGACTTTCATTGCGTTGACTACAACAGCCAAAATGTTCTTTAAAATATTTTTATTAGCTCTTTAAAACAATGTCATACAGGTTTGTAAAGACATGAGGGTGAGTAAATAATGATATACATTTCATTTTTGGGTGAACTAACACTTTAACCAGGGCTTGGGACAAAACGGATATTTAAAACGAGGGGGTCCAAAAATGCCTTCCTAATGCATTCCTCTGATTATATGTGAGCTAACATTTGACCTGTTCTATTATATTTATTCTATTCTATTCTGTGGTAGGCTAGTTAACCCTAGTAAAAAAAAGTAGTATATTCAAAGTACATTTATTTCATATTAAGTATAGTTCAAATCTATTACCATATTTACTGACATATTGCTCGAGACTTACTGATATAAAAAAAAATAATACAGTAATTAAACTTTATTTGGAGTATCACTTGTGCACATTTCTTAAAATGTGTTTTAATCTCACTATTGATGAGGATTGTATGATCTTTGAATAATGTCGGTCTTCAAATGCAAGATATTTAAAGTGTACCTAAAGTATACTTGCAATAGTTTCACTTTAGCACAATCAGATATACTTCTGTAGTTGGATTTCAGCACTACTTACTCACAATTAAAGTGCATTAAGTGCAAAATTAGTTGTTCCAATTTAGTAGACTTTAAGTATAGTATCTTAAAAGTACAATTGCCAGGTATTTTTATAAAGTACATAAATATGTAAATATATTTGTAGTATACTTTGCATGAAATACACTGGTAGACAGTCATGCTCGTATCTTGCGGTGTCCTACTTTTCTGCAGTCAGTAAGATTGACTCTAGCATATACCTGTGTGTTTGTTTGTAAGGCGCGCCATTAAGCGACCCGCACAGCTCTGCTGCCCGTTTCAGAACGCCTGTGTCATCACTAAGAGCAACAGGAGACAGTGCCAATCCTGCCGACTCCAGAAATGCCTCTCAATCGGCATGAAGAGGGAATGTAAGTTTGCTTGAGCCTTACTTTCCGTGTTCCCAAATCCTTAAGAAAGCAGAGCTCAAGGCAGTGTGATATAAAACACAAATGTTTGATTACGTTTATTAGCCTAATAATAGTAAACAGAGTGATGAACGGTTCTTCCACCAAGTAATTTGTTGAAGATTGAATTAGTCTGTAGGCTGCGCGTGGTTGTCAAGCAACAAGACAGCTTGCTGTATTAATATAAAATTGTGCGTTCACCAGCATGACACATGACAGCATTTGTTCTGCACTGCAGATTTTTACCTTATCACTTATCACAACCTAGTCAACCTTCACTCATTTTCTTGCATGTGTAATATAATAAGCATGTTTAATGTATAATACACTACTGTTAGTTTTTTTTTTTAAATAAATAAATGAATACTTTCATTCAGCAAGGATGCATTTAATTGGTCAAAAGTTTTAAATAAATGCTGTTCTTTTAGGCTTTTTATTCATCAAAGAATCACGGTTTCCACAAAAATATTAAGCAGCACAACTATTTTCAACATTGATAATAATAAGAAATGTTTCTTGAGAATCAAATCATTATATTACAATGATTTCTGTAGGTTGTGTGACACTGAAGACTGGAGTAATGATGCTGAAAATTCAGCTTTGCATCACAGGAATAAATTACATTTTAAAATATATTCAAATAGAAAACAGTTCTTTTAAATTGTAATACAATTTCGTAATATTGCCATTTTTACTGTATTTTTTTATACCTAATTGTGTATACAAATTTCATAGTGTAACCTTCACTTCAGTTCATGCGGTTCTTTTCATCAGTGATCATGTCGGATGAGGCCGTGGAGAAGCGGAGGATGCAGATCAGGAGGAAGAGGATGCAGGAGGAGCCTGTAACGCTCTCTCCTCAACAGGAAACTGTCATACAGGAGCTGCTCACTGCACATCACAAGACCTTCGACATGACTTGCACCAACTTTATTCAGTTCCGGGTAACATATTTACCTTATTATGATTGTCCGATTGAGATTCAGACAAATGTGTCAACTGAAAATATGTTTTTAAGCACTGTCTTTATCAGAGGTTTTATGTCCGCAGCCTTTAGATCGGGATCAGAAATCCATTTCTGAGCACGGTCTAGAACCTAACAGTGGCAGGGTCTTTCACGTAACCATGCACAAAACACCATCTGAAGATGCAACGCAACGGAACATCAGCCTTTCCTCGCCCTCGTCCCCTTCCTCCAGCTTTCAGAGTCCTGAGAATAAAGAGCGGAAGCAACATAAAAGTGTCATTTTCACTACTCTGCCACATTTTGCAGACCTCACCACGCACATGATCAAGAATATAATCAACTTCAGCAAAATGCTTGCAATGTTCAGGTGAATACTGGCTCTTACATCTGAAATAAAGATTCATCACTGGTGGTTTATAAGATTATAATGAAGTTGTGTTTTGAATGGCAGGGCTCTAATCATAGAGGACCAGATCGCGCTGCTGAAAGGTGCCACCTTTGAGATCATTCTGATCCACTTCAACATGTTCTTTAATGAGGTGACAGGCATCTGGGAGTGCGGCCCGCTGCAGTACTGCCTGGATGACGCCATGAGAGGTGAGGGGCTTCACAGATCTCCATTAACCTCAAGGTCACTATTCAAGAGATTTTTTTTTTTATGAATAAATACTATTATTCAACAAGGATGCATTAAATTGATCACAAGTGACATGTATAATGTTACAATTGCAACAAAAGAATTTTATTTCAAATAAATGATGTTCTCTTGATTGCTCTATTCATCAAAGAATGTTTCTTAAGCAGTAAATCATCATATTAGAATGATTTTTGAAGGATCATGTGACACTTAAGACTGGAGTAATGATGCTGAAAATTCAGCTGCGCATCACAGGAATAAATTACATTTTACAATATATTTAAATAGAAAATAATTACTTAAGATTGTAATAATATTTCACAATATTACTGTATTTTTGATTAAATAAATGCTTTTAAATAAAATAAAGAAACTTTTTTTTTCAAAAACATTGAACAAAAAATTGTTCGACCTCAAATTTTTGAATAGTAATATGAAGCATAGATTCATATTTTTAGAAAATATTATTTAAAAATAATACTGTTTTTAACTTTATTTTTACAGTTGAACATAAAGCGACTTTTTTCAAAAGTGTAAAAGAATCTTAGTGACCTCAAAAGTTTAAATAGTAGTGTATACCACTAATCGGTTCGGTTCAGGGGTAATTGGTTACGTCGCAATGTTGGAAATGTTTCTGTTTTAAATAGACATCAACCGATATATCGATTTACCGATATTTTTCCAGATATTTAAGCATTTTACAATAATCGGATATCGGTTTTGTCATATCGGATTCACCGATAAACGCCACCATCTTGTGGATGTTTTGAGAATTGCGCGCAGGATCAACATTGCAGTGCGTCTGAGGGGAAACAAGGCAACAACAACGGCGTGCACAGGTACTTGATTTACTGTAGTTCGTAAACTTTATTTAACATAACAGCCATTAATGCACAAATTAGATGTATTACATAAATGCCTGATATGCAGTTTATGCAGCTTGGCTCGAAGAAATAGAGATGAACTCACGGAGTCACGTAGGATAATCCGTCAAGTCCTGTCCCAATAAAGACGTAACTTTGCATGAATTAAATAATATGCAGCCATGAATGGGCGCATGTTGGAAATAAAAGTGCTGAATTTAATTCGCTCTCTGTTGTCTATATGCTCATCGTCTCATGAAGTCGGAGTCACATAGGCTCTGCCGAAAATTAGTTCACCGCTCAGGATTCACTTTCACGTGGTGTGAAGCTCTGCGTATTATCACGCTCTATGCGTGTGTGCGCTCCGCTCAGTCGCTCACGGCCCAAGAGTTGTTTTCTCGTGATCACAACTTAATTTTCTAGTGATCTCGACATAACAAGAGTTGTTTTCTCGTGATCGTGACTTAATTTTCTCGTGATCTCGACATAACAAGAGTTGTTTTCTCGTGATCATGACTTAATTTTCTCGTGATCTCAACATAACAAAAGTTGTTTTCTTGTGATCGTGACTTAACAACAGGTGGCAGTATAGAACTATTGATGGGGAGTTGTATACAATATCCACTATACTGTATGCGTTTGGGACAGAGGACCTTCTTCCTGATCGCTATAATTTGTGCAGTTCATTACTGACATTTAATTAACTTATAAATGTTAAATGCTGGAATTTTATCTGTTATCTTATGTTATTACTGCTGCACGACTCATCACAGTTTTTCATTTACAACTACGTAAATTGTAATGTGCATCTTTCTTATTTTTAATCTTTTATCGTTAATAAATGTATATCAGAATCAGAATCAGAAAGAGCTTTATTGCCAAGTATGTTTGCACATACAAGGAATTTGTTATAGTGTCCAAGCTTCCAGTACACGGAGACAACAACAACACACAGATAATAAATTAATAAGAAATGTGATTTACATGTGTGTATTATTTAGTTCAATAATGTTATACAGTGTTGTGGCCTAATCTTTTATATTTTTTTGTAAACCGCACACACATAACAGCATCTCAAGCTCGTAACTCACATGATATCACAACCTATCCTACATGACTAATAAAAATCACAAACAAATTATTATTATTATTATATATAGCCTAATTTTATTTCAAACGAACGAGGAAAATAAAGCGAGTTGAATCCAAGCAGCTTAAGATTTTTAGAATAGGCTTCTTCTCTGCATTCTTCTGAAGGCTCTCCACCTGCGCTTGCGGTGAATGCAATTTGTTGTTAGGCCATTTAATGTTAATTACACAAATAAAATGTGACGTGACATGTGGCCAAGTATGGTAGCCCATACTTGGAAATTAGTGCTCTGCATTTATCCCATCCAAAGTGCACACACACAGCAGTGAACACACACCCGGAGCAGTGGGCAGCCATTTTTAAAACATTTTTGCTGCGGCACCCGGGGAGCAGTTGGGGGTTCGGTGCCTCAGTCATGGTATTGAAGGTGGGAGAGAGCGCTGTACATTCACTCCCCCCACCTACAATCCCTACCGGCACGAGACTCGAACCCGCAACCTTTGGGTTACGAGTCCGACTCTCTAACCATTAGGCCACGACTTCCCCAATGTGTAGTGTAGCCTAACTCTGGAAAAAAAAAATCACATTATTTCTAAGTGAAGCAACATTTGCTGAAATACAAGATACAGTAGGCCTATTATCTGTTGATCGTTTGCGCCTCAAAGGGGGCATTGTAAAACGCTTGGTTGCTTAATGCATTTAGAGAGTGTTTTTAAAAGACCAAACTCATTAAACACATTATTAGTAAATTATAATAGGCTATGTACAGACAAGCAGATGAGTCCAGGATGTGAACGCAATGCGTTTTTCTTATAGCGGTTTTCTATGGTTAAAACGCTTAACACGTTAAACGCATTGCGTTCTTATTATGGGCCCATTTGCTTGTCTGTACATATAATTAATTACTAATAATGTGTATACTGAGTTTGGTTTTTCAAAAACACTCTCAATTAACGCATTGAGCCAGGTTAAGAATGTCCCCGTCAAGGTTGCGTTCGTTACTATAGCAACAGTAGACTCACGATGCATTGTGTTTTAATTTTGGTTAAAAGAACCACTTTTGTTATGTCGAGATCACGAGAAAATTAAGTTGTGATAAAAGGAGAAAACAACTTTTGTTATGTTGAGAAAATTAAGTCGTGATCACGAGAAAACAATTTTCTCGTGACCTCGACATAACAAAAGTTGTTTTCTCGTGATCACGACTTAATTTTCTCGTGATCTCGACATAACAAAAGTTGTTTTCTCTTAACAAAAGTTAAGTCGTGATCACGAGAAAACAACTTTTATGTCGAGATCACGAATAAATTAAGCCGTGATCACGAGAAAACAAGAAAGAAAAAAATTATAACAATGCATAGCCGCTTAGAACTTCAGTAGAATACAAACATATAAATAAAAAATAAAATGACAGGATAAAAAAGTTATACATACATTAGGGCAGTTACATAAATCTGAAAAGCTTTAGAATTTTTATTGTTTTTATAAGCTTCTTATTTTGTGATCTCATATTAGAAAGGGTTTCAAAATATATTTTAAGATCAGTGTTACAAAACGTAATATATGATGGTGTCTTTTGAATTACTTTTGACTTGTGAATATAAAACCTTGCTAAGACAATTAACAGACTAATAATGTAAATCTGTTTATCAGGAAAAAGATGGGTTTTGAAAACAAAGTAAAATATCATGAGGTTCTAAGTTAAGGGCTTTGTTTAATTTTTTTTGTTATGTATATTTTAAAGTCAACCCAAAATGTAGCCTTGAGATGGTCCTCACTGCAGAAAAGGTTTCCATGGTTTCCCATGTTTTTGTGTTCCTGTAAATAAGTGGTGTGCCATTCTGGAGTCTTATCATCAAGTATAAGTGTGCTTAAGAGGAAGAAAGCCATGTGACCATGACCAAACAAAGCAGTAAATAAAACAAGACCACTTTGACCACCTGAAAAGGTCTCTGCCACAGACATAACGCTCCAGCTAAGAGGAGGAAGGGGAAGGAGAACACTGGAGGAGAAACCCCCTTTAGCGCTAGAGAGGTGTTGGGAGCACAGCAGGACAGTATCAGAAGATAATGAGGGAGATGGCGGCAGCATGGCAGTGTTACAGGCAGAGCAAATAACATCTTGGGGAAAAAGTGAACAGAGTAGCCAGGCTTTCTGTGATGACTCTGTGAAGCTGCCTCAGGAAGCACTTTCTGCCTTAGTACATGTGTCAGTCTGCGTTTATTGGCATCTTCATTACTTTAAATGGGATTGTGTCAGTTAAACTTTCATGCTTATTTTTGACTTCAAATATCAGACCTATTTTAA